GGAGCTTTTTGAAGTAGGAGAAGGCCACTCCCGAGCTGAGGCCACACTTGAGCTTAAGGAGCTACCCAAGCACCTTAAGTATGTCTTCTTGGATGATGCCCATGAGAAGCCGGTGGTCATCTTTGCTGAGCTCGACAGTGAGGAGGAAGAGGAGCTTATAGCCGTGCTCCAAAAGAATCAGAGAGCAATCGGATGGATCTTGGCAGACATCAAGAGGATCAGCCCCTCCACATGCATGCACCGGATTAGCCAAGCTGTTTCGGGATAGCCAACGACGGCAGATCGGTGTAGCCCGCTGAGTGCCCTTACTCATGGTTGACTTCTTGAACTCGGCTTTGACTTCCCCCTGTCTTGCCCACTAGAGTAGTTCCTTCAGCGTAAGAACTAATCCGTCCTCCTTAAACCCGAATATGATGGAGGTAGTGAAGAAAGAGGTGCTGAAGTTGTTTTCTGAGGGGTTGATATATCCGGTGGCGAGCAGTGAGTGGGTCAGCCCCATTCATGTGGTGCCAAAGAAGGGAGGCATTACCGTGATCGAGAATAACAAGAGGGAGTTGGTCCCTACCCGCATCACTACCGGGTGGCGCATGTGCATTGACTATAGGCGACTGAACGCTGTGACCAAGAAGGACCACTTCCCATTGCCATTTATTGACCAGATTTTTGACCGTCTATCGGGCCATCAGTACTACTACTTCTTGGATGGACTTTCTGGATACTACCAAGTGGCCATTGCACCAGAGGATCAGCCCAAGACGACATTCACATGCCCTTTTGGCACCTTCGCTTTTAGACGGATGCCCTTTGGCCTATGCAATGCCCCGGGCATGTTTCAGAGATGCATGTTCTCCATCTTCTCGGATATGCTTGAAAACTGCTTGCAGGTATTCATGGACGATTTCTCTATATTTGGTGATTCTTTTTCCCATTGTCTTCGTAACTTATCTAGAGTCCTTGAACGTTGCATTGAGTCCAATTTGACTTTAAGCTGGGAAAAGAGTCATTTTATGGTGAATAGGGAGTTGTCTTAGGTCATGTTGTTTCTTGTAAGGGAATTGAGGTCGATAAGGCCAAAGTAGATGTTATTGAAAAACTTCCCCCTCATGTGAATGTTAAGTGGATTAGGAGTTTCTTGGAGCATGCGGGGTTCTATAGGCGTTTCATTAAGGATTTTTCTAAAATTAGTCAGCCTCTATGTCATTTGCTTGCTCAGGACGTGCCATATGTTTTTGATGATGCTTTTTTGTGTGCTTTTAATGAATTAAAGAGCAAGCTTGTGAGTACCCCTATTGTGATTGCCCCTAACTGGTCTATCCCTTTTGAAATCATGTGTGATGCGTCTAATCTTGCAGTGGGCGCCGTTTTGGGTCAGCGAGTTGATAAGTTGCTTCGAGTGATTTATTATGCTAGCTTGACTCTCAATGGGGCCCAACAGAATTATACTACCACCGAGAAGGAACTTCTAGCCGTGGTCTTTTCTCTTGAAATTTCGATCATATATTTTGGGTTCTAAAGTGATTATTCACTCTGACCATGCGGC